CTTGCCAAATTTAGTATCTTGTCTCTGTCTGTGGTTTTGGTCAGTCTGACTATGATGTGCCTTGGGGGAATAGCTTCTTGGGTTGATTCTGTGTGGGGTCCTTTGTATTTCTTGGGTCTAAATGTTTGAGTGCCTCTCTAGGTTTGGAAAGTTTTCTTCCAGGATTTCATGGAATAGATTATCAATGATCCGGATGTTTGGGTGTTTAATGATACTTAGTATTACTCGTATGTTACTCTCATTTTTTTGGTGTTATTTTCTGAGTTTCTTGGGGGAATTTTTCTGTTAGAGGTTCTATCTTCTATAACTGAGATTGGATCTTCTGCATGATCTAATCTGCTTTGGGTATTTTCAAAAGAGGTTTTGATTTCTTGTATTACAGCCTTCATTTCTTTCTTTCTTTTTTTTTTTTTTTGGAGAGGTTTTTGCTATAGGGCGCGTGCGCTCGCTAGACAGAGAGAGAGACAGAGAGACAGAAAGTGAGAAATCACCCCCCAGGGGGGATGGCCACGCCGCATTCCCTTCTCCTCCATTCTCCTCTCGGGATCTTGGGCATGCATGCACACGCACCTGGCGTGAGTTTTAAGCCACCCAGTCTGGGACACGAACCGCAGTCGACTACATGGGAGTCCAGCGACATAGCCATTACGCTAACTGCTGGTCCCTACAGCCTTCATTTCTAACAACTCCATTTGATTCTTTTTTATGATGTGTATCTCCTCTTTCAGATCGTGCAAGAACTTCCTCACCTCCTGGAACTCATTGTCTCTTTTCTCCTGCGTTTTCTGGAGTTTGTTGTCTCTCTTCTCTTGCATCTCCGTTAGCTTTGTCATTATGAATATTCTAAATTCTTTATCTAACATTTCCACAAGTGCCCTTGTATTCTCTGTGGAGGAAGAGGAATTTTTCTTTTCCCTTAGAGGAGAGAGATTTTCTTGGTTTCTCATATTCCTTGTGCCTCTACAGTGGTTTCCGGTCATCTGATGGGTTGTACACGTTTTTCTAGTTTTTGGATTTAAATCCGAGCATTCAGAAATGCAGGTGGAGGTGATTGACAATCTCTAAACAGGGCTGTTTTTCTCCCTTTGTGCAGCCGATTCAGTGGAAATTGAGGATTATTCTGACCCTAAAAGTATTCAGATGTTTGGCTACTGACCACCTAGATGTGTCCAGGAAATCAGTGTGTAGAGGCCGAGCGGAAAAGTGAGAAAGGTAAAAAGTAAAGGAAATGGAAAAGAAAGAAAAAGAGAGAGAGGAAGAGAGAAAACAAGACAAAAACAATTTTTTAAAAAATAAAATGTTGTAAGCAAAAAGTGACAACCGCAGGGCATGCTAGCACGCCGCATGACTGGGACCACCTCAGAACTCAGATGAAGATGGCTGCTGAGTGGCCTGTCCTATGGAGGCGGGGGGAACGATAAGAATGAGCAAGACAGAAGAGCAGCAGACCGCGGAGAAGTTTAAAAATTAAAAATAGAGACAGAATAAAGAGGGCACTCTAACCTGGCTCCTGGCTATATCTGGGGGACAGGAGGGTGAAGTCTGGGCAGAAGGTGTTCGATGGTCCTAATACAAGGAGATTCTTACATTAGAAGGCTGATTAGATTAGTTGACCCTAAATTATTTTTGAGGTTTTATTATTCTTTGAGTTACTGGATTATGTTTAGCTCCTTTGGGATAACACTTCATTTACTCAGTAATGAAGTTACCACCTTCAGAACACTTACGCTGTGTACGCTGTTGTCATCCTTCCCAGTGAAAGTCCCTCGTGGCGTCCTGCCTCATTCACCGCAGTGGCCTGGAAATGGTTCCCTGAGTAAATTTCCTCCATCCTATTTAATCCTTTATGCTGTTGATAGACTAGTTTTTCTTAAATGCTTGTCTTCTTAGAGTACAAAACTAGTTTCCAATTGCTCCGGAACAGATTGCTGCAAATGTAGCAGCTTAAAACAACACAAAGTTATTGTCTCACCATTTCTGTGGGTCCGAAGTCTAGGCATGGTGTGGCTAAGATTCTCTGCTCAGGGTCTCACCAGGCTGAAATTTAAGTGTTGGTCAGAGCTGTCTTCTCCTCTGAGGCTCAGATTCCTCTTTCGGGCTCATCGGTTGTTAGCAGAATTGGTTGCCTTGCCTTGTAGGACGGAGGTCCCTGTCCCTCTAGCTGCTGCTGTCAACCTCCCTGCGCTCCTGCAGTGTGTGGCCTGCAGGTTCTCAACGGGGAAGTTTGCTTTCTTCCATGCGATTCAGGATACCCCAAATAATTGTGATTGTATCAAAATAAAAACATTTTTAATTATAGGGAATATAAGTAGAAACTTCTCCCTGGAAAAGGTGGGCAGGTAAGAGGTCTATTTGGTGAATCCTGTTAACAGTGGGACTGGAAGAAGTTAATGTCTAATCAGTCTTAGACCAGGCCTGTGGTTCAGAAAAGCCTGACTAGTAAAAACTGCAGTTGTACTAAGGTGGGGCCGAGTAGTCAGGACTGCCTTGGTGAAGGCTGCCACCGACTCTCTTCTCATGGGAAAGCCTGGCCTGCTTCAGCTGGCCATCTCCCAGGAGCGGGGTTGGGGCCGGCTCCTCTGTGGGGGAGGCACAGTACTCTACTTGGGCTCTGTGAGTCAACCATCAGCCTGCAGTGCAGTGCCTCTCGGCCTGCATGGGTGGGTCACGCTCCGTTAGCAGCATTGATTTCGTGTTTATTTCTGAAGGGACAGAATATGAGATTACCAAATAAAATATAATTTCAAGTGTTATTAATGAAAGAATATATTACGTTCACTTTTAATGAGATCCTGGTGTTGCAAAATGATTCCACATAATGAATCTAAGGAAATCAATGAAAAGTTTAATTACAGTTATGGCAGTGTTGTATGAGAATATTGCTTTGGTCAATTCTACTTGTACAATTTATCAATCCTCTCTGCCTTTCTCTTTTAAATTAATTGCTTTGATGAAGTAAGTACAAATACATTCTTTGTTAGCTTTTGGTCTTTTTTAGAAATGTGTTACAAGATTCAAATTCCTTTCATAATAACAATAATGATAATTGCTATCATTTTTATGTGTCATACCTTTTGTACCTTTTAAAATCACACAGTATTTCCATTTTATGAATTTAGTCATTGTTATGTCTTCCTAAAACATCGGCCTTTCCCCTTGGTTGTTTTTTTTTGCAAACCACTTTCTGTCTGCTTTCAACCTATCAGAAGACCATTAATTAATTGAAATTGTGTTGTGCTTTCTGTATTGTTTATCACTATCATTGTTTATCAGTCAGCCTCTTGGGTGAATAAAAAGAAGAGCAAGATGCTTCCTCTGATTAACTGTTCTACTTTCATGTAACCACATAACCTTTTTAATTTACAACAAAATGAATTTTCTTTTTAGCACATTTTTATTTGGGGGCAGTTTATTGGTTATGGTGCTTGCTTGTCTACTGTGATGGTAATTGACTGCAAAAATTGTTTATAAAACAGTATAAAATGTTGATCTTGATATTTAGAGGTATTTAATTTAGTTCTTCATTTCAGTGACTCTAGAGTTTACAAACTATATATCGAGGAAGTTATAGTGGATTTTCTTTTAACTCCTGCAGTTGCTTAGTAGCTGCTTTTGGCATAAGGTACAGGGCCTTAAAATATAGTCAGTAATTATTTTGCCTGATTTAATCTATGGGTAGAAGCAGTGTCCTTAGTGTGATTTAAGAAAGAAAACCCCTGCCTCTCTTCTCCCACAGATTGCCCCACTGGTCCCTTCAGCCTTCCTGTGTGGTGGAACTCCTCGGGTGCAGCTGGTGTTAAGGTTTTTCCATGTCCCCCTAGCTCGTCACTGACACACCGTGCAGTATGTGAGGATTCTCCACACATCTGGAGGGTGGCGGCGTGCTAAACAAGGCAACCCTTGTTCATGCACATCGGCCTGTCCATGAGGTATTGCAGTTGATGTGTGTTTTGTATCTGTAAAGAATAAAGAACCCTCCGTAAAGAAGGGTGCTAGTGAGTGTCCCGAAAAGACCTTTGTTTTCCCTGAGAACGGTGCCTTTCTCGACCGCGGTTCAATGTGTGCTGGAAAACCCACGTGGACTCTTAAATGGGAGGCTATTCTTGCCCTACTGGCACGTGGGTAAAATATTCCTGCGACTGCTGTTTCCAGAACCTGGTATCACTGTGGCATTTTCTTTGGGACATAAGTCATTACAGGATTAGAGAGCTTCAGATTTCTCCTAGAATGTTTCTTTGGAAGTAAGTATTCTCTCTTTGATGGCTGCCCCCAGTCCGTGTGCTTGTGTGCTCCTGTTAAGTTCTATTGTACACTCATTACATCATGATTTGTACTGCCTGGGCCGATGCAGATCATAGCCCTGAGCAGAGATAGATCTGAGAGGGGACATGTGTGTCCCAAACCCAAAAGTGATGGAGAAATGGGAGAGAATGGATTGTGGTGTGACCATGCCCCATTAGGGGGTACTTTCTCCCTCCCTTTCTCTATCTCTAGTGAGTGCATGTGCCCTCTGGCAAATTAAAAAAAGAGAGGGAAGAAAAGGAAAATTAAAGTTTTTCTGTAATGAACATATGTAATTTTTATTTTATTTTATTTTAACTTTATTTTTAGATTTTGCCATAGGGAGCATACGCTTACCAGAGAGAGACCGAGAGAGAGGGAAAGTGGTAAATTATTTCCCAGGGACGATGACCACAGCACGATCCCTTCTTTTTCATTCTGCTCTCAGGATTTTCAGCACGCACATACACATGCCTGGTGTGTTTTCAAGCTGCCGGGTGTAGGACTCAGCCACAGAGTCAGCCATGTGGGGTCCAGAGCCTTCACCAGCGTACCACCTGCTGGCCCCGACACATGTAATTTTTATCATTAGAAAAGCCTGGTTTGTGTTATTAATGCAGCCAACTGGTTTATATGGAAGATGGGTTGTTCTTTGTCTTCTTAATTTTTGTATCAGGAATCTTGCTGCTGACAGTGTTTCTGCTCTTTCTGTATTGCAGCTCTAGTGGTAAGTACCACTTCGGCTGGATTTGCCTTGGCTCCAGGACCTTTTGACTGGCCCTGTTTCCTGCTTACCTTCGTTGGAACAGGCCTTGCATCCTGTGCTGCCAACTCCATCAATCAGGTCAGTTCCTTACCTTTCCACTAGGTTATGGTATTGTCACTTTTTCCTAGATGGTGGTATTATCATATTTTAATTTTTTTCAAAGTTTATTTCTTTTGAGAAAGAGAGAGGAACACCTTCAACAAGGTCTCAAAGTGTGACCTGTACCCCACCCCCCCAAACCCCTAACATCACCAGCCTTCCAGCTAGCCAGAATCACAGTCATACATGCGTGTGCACCCAGTTTGTACAGGTTGATCCAGAAACCAAACCCTGGTCTTCCTTATAGCTTCCACCATTACAAAGCATTACACTCCTGCTGCACCACCACAGCTAGGCCAGGATTGTCATATTTTTAAAATCATTCATATTGATGGAGAAGCACTGTGAGCTCATTTTTTTTTCTAAAAAATTATTTACTTGTTATTATAATTACTTTTCAGTTTGCTCTAGGGCACACATACTCACCAGAGAGATGTAGAGAGAAGGAGAGAGGGAGTGAGTAAGAAAGCAAGCTACCTGGTCTGGGACTCAAACTGCAGTCAGCCCTGTGGGAGCCCAGCACCTGCTGGCCCTTGAACTTATAACACTGTCTGTCCTGTCCAGGTCTGCGGGCTATATAACTAGTTCCTACCTTTTTTTTGAGGTGCATGGTTTTTAAATACATTGAAGAAAGTGACAGTAGAGTATGCACTTCAAATGGCCAGAATTCCTTGGGTTAAGTGTTTTCGGTTTCTCACAACTTTCTGCCACTTTACAAAATAAAATGTCTTTTAAACTTGCATATCCAGTTTGTTTTTTAATGGATAATTTAGTATTTAGTTAACCTGGAATATGGACTCAGATTATTTAAAAAAATAATTGCTATGTAATTTTCATGCATCTTTTCCCTTATTATTTTAAACATCAAAATAATTTCTTCAAATATTTTCACCCTGTGCAGTCATTGTGGTTTGCCCTAATGTTGTGGCTTTTTCATAAGATACTATAATAGTAAAAAATAAAAAATTTTTAAAAGGAGGCTTGGCTAAAAATGAAGGAAAACCATTTTCATCACCAGAACACCCAGAAGGAGTTGGCACAGTTATAAAACAGGAATTCATGTTACCAGCAGGAAAACACCCTTGTCTGAGGGAGTTAGAAGTTACTAACCTGAAAAATATAGGAATTTAATTCAATGATGCCTAAAATCATTGTGCTTCTGCAGTGTATTATTAACTATTTAGAGAAGAATCAATCTATTTCAAATAAGGTTTTATTATTGTTGTTACTTTTAATGCTAAAACAATCTTGTAGTGAATTTCAGTCATCTTACCCCTTTACCAAAAGTACGCCCTTCTGTAAACCGCCATGCGACCTCATCGAAGTTGTTCCTTCTTTTGCTGCCATCCCATATTTCTTAGCAAAGAGAATAATCATGATTTCATAATTATATGAAATAGTCATGATTTCATTATCAAATAGTCATAATCATGAATGTATTTTTAATGAAAGTTTTAAATAAAAAACAATATAGTGAAATGACTTTATTTGGCTATTTTGAGTATATTTAATCTTTTTTTTAACTATTACCTTTGTTTAGCTATAAATCTAGGTGAGGAGTGTTTTTTTTTTTTTAGAGAGGTTTTTGCTATAGGGCGTGTGCACTCATCAGGAAGACAGAGAGAGACAGAGAGACAGAAAGCAAGAAATCACCCCCCAGGGGGGATGGCCACTCCGCAGTCCCTTCCCTTCCATTCTCCTCTCGGGATCTTGGGCATCTTCTAGTTTTAAACTAGAAGCACATTCTCCTTTTCATTCCTTTTTTTTTTTTTTTTTCAAAAGAGGCACATTCTCCTTTTCATTCCTTTTTTTTTTTTCAAAAGAGATGCATTTATTCTTCATGGATATTAATGACTAGCTCTTATTTAAATTATATAGATTCAAACAAAGTGTTTTAAATAAAAGTGTAGAACCAGCCCTGTGGCCTAGGGGTTAAGTGAGCTGGTCTCACGTGGCCAATCATGGTTTGAGTCCCAACCCTGGAGTCTTGAAAAACAGACCAGGAGCATGTGCATGTGTGCCCCAAATCCTGACCAGGTGGAGAAATGGAGGAGACGGGATTATGGCATGAATACACCCCACTGGGGAACACTTCCTATTCTTCCCTCCTCTCTTTCTTTCTCTTTCTTTGACTTTGTTTTTCTGGCAAGCACACATGCCCTCTGGCAATGAAAAGAAAGTAAAATAAATTAAAAATTTTCAAATAGGATATAAACATTAAAAATAACATAAAATAAAAGTGTAGTGATTCAGCAGGGGAAATAACAACAATAACAAAAATGAAATGCTTCAGAAACCCCCCAAATAAAATTCTGTAAAAGATAAACGTTGCCTTGAGTTGGAGCAGTCCTCTCACTAAATTCTCTCACTTAAGACTTTTTCATCAAAAAATAACAATGAAAAACTGTCAGTTGTAGCAAGAGAGTGTCTGGAGGGAAAAATTGGGGTGATTTTCCTGACAGTAACTGAACATCTGCCAGGATTTCAGAAGTCTTAAAAGGACTGTGTGTTTAGCTGGCTGCTTGATTTCATAGCCGGTAGAAGTATGTTTGCTATAGGGGGTCAGCTGGGTTCTGTAAATTTTAAAACTACTGAGGAAAGCCACAAAACACATGATGGGATTCTTTCTGGTACCAAAAAATTTGAAGCATTTGCCTCTTCTGTGATAATAATACTCCCTTCTCAGGTTGGTTTCCCAGCGCTGCTCTGGCTTCTCACACGGCCCTTGTACTTCCCTTAGCACTTCGCCACGCTCCTCCTGCACAGGCCACGCATCCCCATAGGCTCTGCAGAGCACGAGATGTTGCCTCGTGTTCACCGGGCAAATGAACTTCCTCATCGTGCGTCATCCATATTGCTTTCTTCCACTTGCCTTAGGCTCTGATTTCATTTGGAAACATCACAATACTTCAGAAATCTTAGTAGCAGAATTCTGGTGTGATTAGTCTGTATCCATGGGTTTCTCAAATGAGAATACTTTCTCAGTGATGTGTTGGAAGTATTTTAGTTTCCATGTTGTTAGGCAAGCTCATAGATTTCAAAGAAAGGAATGTGAGGCCATTTTTGTTAGTGGTTTTAAATAGTGTAAGGAGAATAAAAATCACTAGGTGGGACCAGCAGACGGTATAATGGTTACATTGATGGACTCTTCACGTAGTTGACCACAGTTCGAGTCCCAGACCCAGTGGCTTAAAACACACTGCGCACTTGTGTGTGCATGCCCAAAATCCCCAGAGGAGAATGGAGGAGAAGGGATTGCAGAGTAACTATCCCACGTGGGGGGTGATTTCTCACTTTCTGTCTCTCTGATGAGCACATGTGCCCTATAGCAGAAATCTCACAAAAATTTAGAAAAAAAAAATCACTGGGCAGCAATGGTTTAACTTGAGTTTTTAGAGAGCAGTTTGGTAAAGGAATAGTCCTTAGTGAAAAGGAAGAGTCTACTTTTTTTTAATTAAATTTTCTTTTTTAGAGAGCTGGTGTTCAAATTAACAAATGCATCTATGTGACTGAATGATATCAAAAATTTCATTTTCCAGTAGAGTTCTCTGAGAAAAAATTGTCCTTCTAGTCACATTTATAAAAGGATTCAAGTAACACATATCTATTAGTTTTTAATACTTTTCTTGAGCTGTTATTCATTTAGTTCTGAGCGTTTCTTCTTTTGCCCTATTTCTGTGATCTTTCTGTGAAAGTAAAAAAAGTAAAGCTTTGGAAAGCAAGTTTTACATTTGTTTGCAGGAGAGAAAATGAGATTCAGCTCCTGATTTATGAAGTAGTGACTAGTGCATAAAGAGATATGTGTAAGAAACCACTAACATTAAAATGTAAAAATAAATTACATTCATGTTTTGTAATATATACACACGCTTCATTCGAAACCAGATTGTGGCTTTAAAGCGGGTATGCTTTCAAAGGATGAAAGCCACCCAGAAAATGTTTCTAATTTTGCAGCTGAAAGATAAAATGTTATAGATGGCTTTGACTAATGGAATCCTGAGAAACAAGTGACAAACTGAATAAATTCAAGTAGCAGGAATCAAGAAATGGAAAAATAGAAGAACTTGCAGAACATTTTAACAATTATTTTGAGTTTTTGACATAATAGTCTTATAAGCTGTAAGTGGGTTTATTTTACTTACATTACATATCCATGGTTTTTAGAGAGGTTATATCAGAGAATGTGTATGTTAGTCAGTACACTTCTACAGAGTACATTTTAATGGTGAAGTGTTTTGTTTTTTTTTTTAATGGATGTGCCTCAACTTTCCTAAACAGTTCTCTGCTGCTGTAACTTTTTGCTTCTGTAAGTAATGCTGACTACATCTCTAATTGTTGAGGTGAAATTGCTGCACGGAAAGCTCCCAGCTGAAGCACATAGGAAACTAGTTTAGCTTTGGAATGTACCAGCCTAACATGATCATTTCTTACATTCATCCAGTACCGTAGCCTTTACGGAGCATATTTGCATAGATTATTCTCTAAAACTTATAATGCTGCAGGTATATAGAATTATTTCCACTTCCATTTTCAAAACATTTGATTTTGCTGTTGAATTAGTCTTTCAAAAAGTAGCGTTTCATGGAAAGCCAGAGGTTGGCACAGTGGTAAACATGATGCTCTGTGAGGCCGGCCCAGGTGGGAATGTTCCAGGTTCGTGTTTGGAGACTAGCTTGAATGTGCCAGGTCTGCACGCGGCCATGTTCCAGGGCCAGCTGAATATTATGGATCATTATGTTACTATGCTATTGGGGGGTGGGGTACCAGCAGGAAGCATAGAGGATAAGGCACTGGACTCCCACATGACTTATTGCGGTTCAAGTCCCAGACCCAGTGGCTTGAGTTTCATACTGGGCCTGTGTACAATCACCCCAAATCCCAAGAGGAGAATGGAGGAGAAGGGATTGCAGTGTGGCTATCCCCCTGGGGTGTGATTTCTTGCTTTTTGTCTGTCTGTCTTTCTCTGGCTCTCTGGTGAG